TAAAATGGACCCTGTTGACCAACTAGCATGGTTGCTTGTAAATGTGAGCACGTCTATAAATCAAACACGTCACATGTTGGAAACCTCCTACGCGATACACAACTGTTGAGCGAAGTTTCACATTTTTTTAGAACCGGATTTTGTTGGTAACTGTTATTATTAGGTAACATTGTTTCTAGCTCTTGGCAGAAGCGAAGAGCACCAAGAAAACCTAATTTACTTCAGTATTAATGAAATTTGAATGTCATAACAACCCAGTTGAGGTAGATAAACCAAAGCCTACAATATTCTCTCTAAAGTTTTAGTCTCAGCCTTCTAAAGTTTTAATAATAATAGTATGGTGTATGGGTACTTACCTGTTGCATAAAATTTAACATAGGTGGATGACATAAACGTGGTGCAACAAGCACTTCAAAACATGCGTGAGCTCGCATGCTAATCAGGCATAGGGCCTTGGGGGCCCATCGTAACACAAAGGACACTTTTTCGCGGCGTGGGAATCGACCCGGGACCTTCGCACATCGCTGCTGTTTGATGCTTCCTTATAGGGTTGTCTTGAGAGTATTTTAAAGAAATATATACACTTTTTGCATCTCAAGGTAGATTCGCCATTTAAATAATTTAAAATAATTTTGCAGAACAATTTTTTTCTACTGATTATACCTTTAAAATCCAAAGACAAAATAGTCAAGGTAAAACTACGTAACTTGTCCGGCTTTACAGTTCGTTTCAATTTAAATATAGTAAAAGTGAAAAGAAATAGAAACTAAATATTAAAGGCCCAGATTTGACGAACTCTTCATGATTTAAAAGAACTCAGTCGGGTGCCTTAGCCGGGACCAGGATGGAACTGGCTTCATGAAATCCTGGCTTTATAATCTTAGGGTCGTATTCCAGAACTCCACTCAATGTTCAAGTCAGGATTTGAGCAGACTTGAAAAACCATTTAAGATTTTTTTAGAGCAGACTTGAGTATGATTTCAAGCACTGGAAATACGACCCTAATGGCAAGGACTTGAGTATGATTTTCAGTGCTCACTGCAGTACTCAAGTCCTGACTTGAGTATTGAGTAGAGTTCTGTAATACGATCCTTAGTCTTTTTATTTCGCCAATGTTTTAATTTAAATGCAATACTCGTATAGGTGCTTACATCATCAGGTAGTAAATATTACAAACCGGGGAGCTCGAAACGAAAACAACGAATATTTCCGAACGCTGTTGCACGTCTATAAGTTATCGCATTAATCGCCTTATTAATCGCTTATTACTTATATATCGTATTAATCGCTATTTTTATTTAGACGAAACTTTAATAACTTTGTTCATAAATCTGGCATAAGCCAAATGATGTTTTATTTTGTAATAATTATACTCGTAGACAAATTTGAATTATGCTAAAGAACTTTTGTATGAACCATTGGCCACATATTTTTATATTTTAGAACATTTAATCAAAATAAAAGAGATTTGAAGAGATTCTTTTTTCAAATTAAACGTTTTGTTCTGGTACACAAACCAGAACGTTTAATTGAAAAAAGAATTTCTAAAAGCCACAGTTGGTTCATATGAACATTATTATCATAAGTCAACCTTTTTTAGCGTTTCTCCTCCGCTTCTTCCGCGGTAACAGCATCAGCATTCGGAAATATACATGGTTTCCGAATTTTCCCCATATTTAATATTTACCGCCTAATATATTGTACATGCAGATGTAATATAAAATACCACAGTAAGTTATACATAAGTAATTAAATTGATAATAAGTTGCACAATTGGAGGCGGCTTTATCGCTGTGTGTTTTTTTTAAATAATAAGCTGTTATTTAAAGCGAATAAATTTATAATGTAACGGTATAAGGTAAGATTTTGCGTCACCCGTATATTAACCTTGTGTGTGGATACATCCACATTTATGCTAATTTAATATGCATAAAAAAATATGTCATGCCTTAGAACTCGTTACTGCTCACTTACTTACGTATAGATTGTAGTTATTTTACTTTACGTGTTGTAGGGTGATGTTATAAATGGAAAAAAGAACTCTGCTTCTCGCGTAATATTTGTAATTATGTAAATAAGAAATATGTACGTGTACCACATGGAAGTTATTTTCACGACATTATTACCTATAATTAAGGAAGGATGAGGAAAACATAAAGGTCTATAGGTACTTTACCTACAAAAGAGTCTGCGTCAAAATAATCAAATAACACAAAAAATATTGCGATAATACATTTTTTATTGAACGTTAGAATGTTTCACCACCATGATATCCAATTTTTTGTGAAATTACTCCATTAGTTTGTTATAAACCATTATTACAAAGATCGAACACCTAGAAAAAATTCCTTCGATTCGTTCGGATTCCAACCGATGTCTCCTAGCAAACCATGCCAGACGCTATGCCAACTAAGCCAAGGAACGAACCAGCGCACCTCACGAGTTTTCCTATGTGCTTGTTGTCGGATCACTGTATTTGGTTTTTCAGCGACTTTTTGTTCTAATTGTGATCATTGTTAAAAATTAACCTTATTTCAATGATTCTAAGCAGGAATAAAATCTTAAATGGTTTTTATTGCCCCTATTCTTGCATTAGAAAGCACTTGCTTTTATACCTACTTGCATATATTTATACTTGCTTGCATACCTACTTAGGTATGCTATAAATAGTTTGTGTATGAGAGGCTGACAAACTTTAGATGGCTAAGTTTATTCGTTCGCAGAAGTAGCTGCCAGCTTCGTCATCGGGTGGCTTAGTCTGATTTCTGAACCATTAATATCTCTGGTATTACTTGTGATATCGAAAAGCAGAATTCTGACTCATTCCCTACACGGCAGTTGATTGAAGCTTAATTTTGTTTTAAAATGAAATACGCTACTTACTTGCAACTTTGCAACACGGCATACCTGTAATTAAAACGGCATTCCAACCATTAACACGGCATTCGTGTCATTAATAAGACATTTTATTTCTTTAAAATAAAACAAGTTTTGGTCTACCACTTTTAGGAATTCGTGCAAAAAATTAAAATCAAAAACATGGATGGAGTAGATTGGTACGTAGCAACAGAACAAAAGATATTTATTGTAATGATAGGAATTACAAATAACCCTAATAACATATTTAATCCAAATAACATATTACGCATAGAGAAAAGTATGTGCGGCTTTTATATGATGCGTGTCTGGCTTGTCCATTTTTTATTTAACCAGTCTCGTCTTCACGTGGCTGTTCGGGCGAGCGGGGTATATCGACGAAATAAAAGAATAATAAAGAAGACTGATTTATTAAATGTTTTTGTTATTTCATTACATTTAAGATTTTTTTGACAAAAAATGGCTGTTTTCACAATAAAAACATTGTTGTATTAAAACACGACACAAAATCCTTGAAAATGTAGCGTGTCCGTGTAAAGGCCCGCCTTTTTACCCAAATGTCCGGCTAAACTGTGGCCCTCTATTCCACAAAGTATAAATTCAATCAGTTGAACAAATCGTACACAAATATTCCAATTACTTCAACTAGGTACAACAATATTCCTTATTATCGTTATGTGTAGTAGGAGAACCAAAGTAGGAGCACGAGGAAGGAGCGAAAATGTAAGTTGAACTAATTAACTCGACAAAAAAATAACGTTAATAGCAAGATTTGTATAAAATAATATTTTTATATAATTATCCATCCACAATATAACTTAAAGTTCATATTAGGGGCCCAATAGGGCATGACAAAGTATTGTCCTCTAGTAAGAGGTGTTTTATACATGCATAAAAAAACTGGATTTACAGTTTATCGCTTAAACTTTGCTATCTATTCTATATCATTATATTCTATTTAATTACATATTTATTCATTGTTTAATATCAACAACAACATGTTCAACTTAACATGTTACTTGTTGAACTAATTGGAGAACTTATAGTTGAACTTAGTGGAATAGACGAAACTGGCTGGTTTGTTCGGTTTTAATACTTGGCAACTTATAACTGACAGAAAGGGATACTGCAAATTTGCAAATTGTCACTGATTTTTTGGAGAATAATATTTATTTCTCCGAGTGCCAACCCTACAGTGAAACAATGGATAAACTGCACAACGACGACGCCGCGAGAAAAAGTTACACCTATGAACGTTTTCACGGTGTATCCGATAAACATCTAACATCGCATTCAGGTCCGTGTATGATAGCCATCTTTGAATGCTAAGATTTGATTTATGTTCAACTAAAAACTCACACGGCTTATCTAGAAACCTCAGGGGAATTGCTTTCCTAGGTAACTAAATGGATACGCAATTCCTTCGTACAGGAAGCACCCTCGGTGCGGTCCCAAGGCCCGTAACGCGCCAGTTTATATAGGCGAACTCGCGAAACGGACAAGTCTGGATGGCTTCGGGCCGACCGCGTAGCGGAGTGTATTCGAGTAGTTAACAACCAGCGGCGGATCCGAACAGCTCGCCATAGACGAGCACGCCCGCCCTCTTCCTACGTTTCTTGAAAACGCGCCATGAAAAGAGGGCCGCCCGAGCGCGCCCGTGATCTCGATACAAATTCGAGTATGAACTGCTACGCTTGTAGGGCCTAGACCGCCCGGACCCGCCTGTTTCGCGCGCTCGCCCGTTCAAATCGGCGCGTTAGACATCACGTGAGAACGCACCATTAATAAGGCCATCTGCAAAATCTGTCTGGTGAGAGATTTTTAGATTCTTCGAAAGAAATTTATGCTAAAATGGGAGAGTTATACAATTTCACATACATAATTTGTTCGTATTATTATAATACCTTTCACGTGATGAAAGCACTTTTGACGTATGATCACATGTGGCTTATGTGTTATATATAAATAGACTTGTCGAATATAAGAAAATTAAGTTTTTTTTTTAGATTGTATGTCGTACCTGTTGTTTGATTTTGACAATCAAGTTTTAAGTTGATTTACATTAAAATTAATGGGTGTTCAATGTGAATAAATAGACATGTATTTTGTAAATATATTTTTATTGGTATCTACAATTCTTATACATCGCATAATTCTTTAAATACTTTACATGAATACGTACAATGACTTCGACCAGCTTGGTCTTTGGATATGCGATTTAGGAGCTAATTCTGTTCTGCGTAATATAAAATTTTTATTACGAAAAATAATTATATCCCTTGGTTATACCAGAGCATAGGTGAACTATGAGTAAACAAAAAAAAGTGGTTGTTAGAAGTGGGACGCTTTTAGTTGGAAAAAAAAATGTCCCATATAGATCAGTTGACGCAAAACAGAATTGGCGTTTATGATATTTGACATCTATAAAATAGCACCTTATATTTCGGATGATTGGTGGATTAGGCGTAGTGGTAAGTAACGATCAAATTGTATAATTACTTTGCTCAATCCTCGTTAAAATGAGAAATTATTTTAGGGACATGATTTTTTTGACAATTACACCGTGTTTCGTTCATAGTTCGTAAAATATTGTAATGTGCATTTTTCAATGCTAAAACTAATTTTAGTTTCATGATATAAACAAAATTTGATCTTTTTAAAATTAGTTTAGGATAAGAAATATGCACATCAGAATTGACTAAATTTTATATGAATACCAAATTTAAGCAATAATTAATGGGAAATTAAAATGAAACAGTTTTTAAGTCTATACTTAAAAATGATTGCAGTTGAATTGCATTTCATACAAAAAAAAATACTTAGTACCTATACGATTACATTACAGGACTATAAAAAAAACATTTTGGTGGTATAATAATCGTTATAATTGGAATGGTATTGATTAAATGGAATGCTTTATATAGATGTTACAATTAATTAAGTACTGTATAAATTAATCAATATAATATTTTTCTTAAAGATAAAGATTAAAGTTTCGTAATATACATAAAAAACACTTAAACAAAAAAATTGACTAAAATGAAAATAGAAGTGATTAATATGCGTTTTGGTCTAAACAATATTATAAAAAAACGCTATTTGTGCCCTAGAGTCCTATTATCATTTCAATCGATAACTGCAATAAAAATTAGTACCTTTTTATTAATTTATTAAGTAGGTGTCGATTCTGCTGCAAACAATTTAGTCATAATATGTATTTAAAGAATTTGTTCAAGAAATTCGCATATTTTTTGGTCAAATCTTTTAAAAGAAAATCGAATTAAGTTTTTGAAAACATTTCGACACCAGATAAAATTTTTGAATCTCAACTCGATCGTTTTACATAAAAAAGGTTCATGACTTATAAATGTTCATAGCAGCGTCGAAGCCTTAGTTACATTAATAGATTAACAAAATCAGATCTGTTGGACGGATTTAATTAGAAGCAAACGAAGTATACATGCAATGTTTGAATGACAATCATTAATGTACACTTGATATTTATTCGAGTTTACATTCGTTATTAAAGTTTTTATTGGTCTCGGTTGTTCGCTATCCGTTGAAAGCTGGAAAAAAAAATGAGAAATTTGATGAATTCCAGTACGACACAGAATTGGTGTTCTCGTCGAAACAAAATAAAAAGTTAAACGGTTAAGAATTAATGTCTATGGTCCAAATAAATCAAATGATCATAATACGTCATTTGCCACATCATTACGCTAGGTATTTTCAAATGCCACGAATTAAGTATATAAAGATAATTGGTTATGAATATCTGTCATATCTGCTGAAAACATTCATGTTTTTTTTCATTACGCCGTATTCCGTTAAAATCTGAACAAATTGGATTATTGACTTTTTATTCCATGTTTAAATATTTTCGATTAGGTATTGTTGCTATTACGTACTTAGTTTAGTTTCGCTACGTACAACGGAATGGACGTGTCAGTATTTCTTATTTGTTCTTATCACTTTTGAGGGTCTCAAGTATTTGTTTTGCCATCTAAAGTAACTCGTGGACAAGAACACGAACGCCTATGTAGGCAACTTATTTTTTAATTTATATTATATGGAGAGCAAACCCATTTTATATATTATAGAATTTTACTAAATTAAAAATGTTCACAATATTATTGTAAAGACGGGTAATTTAGTGTAACTATGTAAATATGTAATATATTACATTTTGTTCACATAACTATAAATACGTCTAGTTTTCTTTACGTAATAATTATGTAGGTGTTCGAAGAAAATATCGAATTTTTGTATTTTTATACTGAAAATGTGTTTGTTGGCTCTCCTTCCACCAATACACGTTTTTCAGGAGCCTGGAATATTCTAGTTTAAACAAAATCTTGTTTATATTTAATTTATCAAGTGTTTAATTTTAGCACATCTATTAATTTTATAGCTTATGTGGTCATCTCGTAACAACAAAAACGAAAACCATAGAAATACTTATAGAATCTAATATTCTAGAATTTACAAAAATTGTAATTAATTAACAAATTATAAAAGTACATTTAAATTATAAACCATAGTTATAGAAAGACTTTCTAACTGTCATAACTTAGAATAAAATTGTAAATACTTTAAAAATTTTCTTTCAAACTGAAAAGGGTGAAAGAAAGTTAAAACGTAGAAGAAGTGATTATTTACCAGGCGAGTGCCGCTGGTCCCTTTGCAGTGCGACGTACTGCCGGACAAGGCGGGCCACCTCGTGGGCTTGCTCAGCCTGGAGCCGAGTCACGCGCTGCTGCAGCAGCGACCCGCACTTGATGTCCAAGAACAGAGTGCCGTCCTCCGAACGCACCTGCGTGTTTAATAAAGCATATTAGCACGCTATCCGTTATAGTTGCTCCAGAATCTAGTCCTGTACTCTAGTTCTCCGTCGTTCGACATCCATCCGAAATAATTACTGTCAAATAAGTAATACTCGACAAAATTAGAAGACGCATGATGCGAATGAAGCTTCATACTTGACATTGCTCGCTCAGGTGTCAGGGACTTCAATAGTATGTTGGAAGTATTTCGTAGCAATAAACATTACTAATATGGGGAATTCTTCGGTGCACCTTAATGGGTGATGATAGAGGTGGTGTGAGCTGAACTGGCATCACACTACGTTTTGCATGTTAAGGTGACGGTGTACGATTGATACAGTTTTGGTAAAAATTTCACAATCCAACTTATTTTCGGTTTAGCTCCTATATTATATCTTTATTGATTGCAACTTGTAGAATCTACCGTGGGCCGGATAGAGTGTGAGAGACATATAGGTTTGCCAGATGGCCGGGAAATCCGGGATTGTCCTGGAATATTGCGGACGAAAAACACGTCCAGTAATTAGATTTTACTGTCCCGGATTCCAAACACTTAGAAGTTGTTTTTACGAACTGACTAGAGTCCTATGCATGAAAGAAGTCCCCCAGACGCAGTGCTGTAGTCGTGCGAAGGAATGTCGAAATATTGATTGTGAATGACGTAAACTTTTTGTACGTACTCATAAAGTATTAAAAACTCCCAAAAGATGGTAGAAAACAATGTTACGGCCATGTTATGACCGTCAAATTAGTTAGATTGCCATTGACAAATTAATACGTATTTGAAAATAACGTGCATTTTAATTTTCCCTTTAAAAATACGACTCAAACATTATCGAGGATATATTTATTGCTACGGCCCGTCTCCCTTATCTTAGTGGAATTTTCCCGGAAATGAGTCAGTATTTGGCAACCCTAGATACATACCTTCCTGGTGGAGATGAGTTCCGCGTAGGGCCAGTGCGTGTCGGTTTCGTGCGTGGCGGGGTGCAGCAGGTGCACGCCGCGCCTGTTCAAGGCCAGCACGTGCTCGCGCCACTCCGAGGGGCTGCCGGCCACGCGCCGCACCGCGAAGAACGACGACCCGAACAGCGGCCAACGCGAGAGCACCTAGCGACGACGACATACATAATATCGTTGGTGTTTTGTGGAAAGGACGAAGGCGCCATTACGAAAAATTTTTCAAGGCTGCATTTTTTAGGTTTTTGCGACTGTTTTAAAATACTTACGTCTTGTTTTAAAATTTAATTAAATTTAAATTTTAAAGTTGAAATTAAAACAAGACGCAAATATTTTAAAACAGTCGTGAAAAACTAAAACAAGCACCACTGAAAAATTTTTCGAAATGGCGCTTTTGCTCTTTTTACAAAACCGAAGATATCGTAGTTTTCGAAAGCAGTATAATGGCGTGCTGCTACTTTTACTTAAGCTATTTAATTTTTTACTACTTAATAATTATACTCGATATTCGGTATGTGCTAAATTTTATAGTGAATTAAAAAAAATTGGTTATAATAATCACGTCACACCTTTGAGCATACGATTTACGCGCAAGATTATATCTCGGCTGTGAACCTAATCGTCTTCAGGAATTTTCTACCAAAATTCATCAGAGACATTTGTGTAAATTTGTAATCATTCAAACGTAACTACCGCGTTTGTGTAAAGATTTTTATTTAGATCTTAATTATTATATATTTATAAGTTTTACATTAAAATCTTAACGCAAGCGCGATAGTTAGTTAGTTCACATATTTGAAAACTTACTCCAAGGCCCCAGAATAAAGAGTCGATATTAACTCAGCTCGAATTAAAGTTTTTCCCTTACTAACACGATTCATTTTGCTTAGGTTGTACTCGGTTTGCGAGTGACAGGGACACTGGGTTTATTTCAGAATTTATTTTTTACAATTAAAGCCATTTGATAAATATGTATCGTATAGTATACGTATTCTATTTAGTTCAGATGATATAAAAATAATTGGTATATGATTGAATACATTGAATTATTGAATGCATTACCTATTGAATACATCGGTTTTCTTGTAAAACTTCGAGGTAATTTAAATTTTTTTTCTATCGTGAAAATTTTTAGGAATCGTATTTTCGCACCGTATAATAATCAGTGTATGTCTTCAATCTTCCTATATATTTTTTCCAAAGTGATTGGTTCAACACTTTCACTGTTATGCGGAACCAACCAAAGCCATTTGAGGTAGTATAGACTTTTAACTATGTTTGAGATAGGTTCTTTTATTATATAGTATATCATCGATATGTCCTTGAAACAAACACAAACTTATTTCCATGAAATAAGTTATTATTATTTATATACAATGCATTAGGCTGAAAGGCTTAACCAATACTACCAGTGTGTTACATAGATGCACCCCACGTAAACCGCTGAAGCCGCAATAGATATTGCGACATAGATTTGTACACGCGCAGTGACCACGCGACGAGTCAGCGATATTGAAAAACCCGTGTAACCTAATTAATTATGTTTAGAATAAATTTAATGTTAAAAAGACATTGTAGATCTTGCATCGATCGCAACCACTCTTGTAATTAGCTTAGGAATTATTTTAATTAAATTTTAGTTTT